GTGTTAGATTTTGTGGATTTTGTCGAACAATCAGCTGGGAGGGATTCGTGTCCAGGATGATAGCCAACAGGTCAATGCTTGCCTCACTTTCTTTATTTGCTGTTGTGTCTGGGGACTCCATTTTCGCCGGCAAAACAAAGCGTGAACTCTGCGAAAAAAAGTGTTAACAGTATGTTTGAACATATAAGAAAGTCTACTTCAAGTTCAATATTTGAGCTTCAATGAAGCTGAGAATTATTTAAATGACGTGATAAAGAGCGGTTTGCCCTCTAACCTTTGGCACTACGCGAATTTTTTAATTGTACTTTCCACTTACTTTTTTAATTTTCTATTTTTATTACAGTCAGTTACAGTTACAGTTTTATTACAGCTTGGAATATTATTCACTGAGCTTTTGCCTTTCCCTTTTTATTTTCTGACACAAAATCAAAAGCCAACTTTTTTCTTTGAACTATCCCCAGGGATGGAAAGTTGTATAGAATCTCCCAATTTCTAGTGCTTAATGTTGTCAAGATTAAAGAGCACGTAGCCTTCAATAGCCCCTATATCAATGTCAGATCTTCAGATTTCTATCTGCGCTATGCTTTGGTCAGTGTATGCGAACATGTTGTTGTTGTTGTTGTTGTTGTTGTTGCTGCTGCTGTTGGGCATGGTCAAAAACTCTTTTTGGCTATTCACTGCCGTTTGGCTGGCAGTTGTTTCTCGCTATACCCTGCACATACTGAGCACTGCCCAGAAGCGGGCATTTTGGCTTGCACACAAGCATATCGATGAGGCAGACTCTACTGAGTTCCTTCACTCTTAGCTCTCTGTGATAAATGTTGTTCAGCCTAAATTCAATGAAAATATAGGGTATTTGAGGCGCTCAAAGGCTAAGAGGTATAGAAATTTGGGTTAAATAAAAAGCAAAAGCAATTTCAGAATAATAGCTTCTATATCCCCATTTGGTACAGCTACAGGGTAACTGTTAGTCGGTACGTTTGGGTGCTGCAGCGCTGCTGCATGTTTTCTTTTTGTGTTTTTGTTATTTTTGGTTGGAAAATGCTAAAAGCAAAGTTGGATTATTGGTATATGCCCCCATGTGCTCCATGTGTATTTAGGCGTACGTATCCGAGTGCATGGGTGTGCGTGTGTTGGTGTGTGTGAAAAGATAATACAAATCTCTAGCTGGGCATGAATGCGTATACATGTGTGTGTGTGTGTGTGTGTGTGTGTGTGTGTATGGGTGTAGGGCCGTGGCGCTCAACGGCAAAAGTTTATTGCCCTGCTTCACTCCCCACATCTTCTCTACATCTCTACCCCAGGCACCGTCCCTCGCCCAGCCAGGTGAGTTTTATATGCAATAATTTTTCTTTTTATACCCTATACTCACAGAAAGGTTAGCCCAGGCCTTAAGTTGGGTTTAAGTTTATGTAGTGGCCAACTGCAATGCTATAAAGCGCCACTCGACACACGGTACTGCTCACACGGTACTCTCGAATCGAGTCTCGATTATGTTACGAATTCTAAGATAGTAATATTGTAAAATAGTAATATAATAATATAGAAATACCTTTATAGCCTTTTTTCTGTACACGAAACGTCAGCCGAATAATCGACATATATCGATTGGGATGAATGCTAATTCATTTGAATGTCGATATGCTGACTCTGAGTTGTTCTACATTTATCGATACATAGCGATATATATAACCGACAGAGTGAAGAGTTGGGTAAGTTACATATAAAACTAATAGATCATTAGAGAATATATGTATATGCCCTGCTCTATTAACTATCATTAGTACCTGACTACCTACATATATCGCCTGCTCATGGCCCGCTTTCGATATATCGAACTTTGCATGCCTGGAACTGGAACAGCTTTGAAATGTCAGCTTATAATGCAGCGCGAACTGCTCAGAGTTACGCCATAGCCAATTGATATCAACATCTCTCATATGCCTATAGCTAATATATATCCCCTTTTTGCTTACAGAGTATCTGCGAAGCGAACACGCCCCATGGCGCTCCGCTCCGCTCTTTTCGGCCATATGTGTGGCAGGCGACGCCGTTGAGTTGGATTTAATAAATTCTAATGTTTGCTTACCGTGGCTGGCAAGCCTTTCAACCTGTAACCGCACAAAGGTTTGCTCAGCTTTCCGAGGTGGGCGCAGCGGGTGGCATGGGCGCGGCTCGTAGGGTCAGCGTCGTCGGCGGCGGCGGTGGCGACGGCAGCGTCAGCAGCTGCAACAGATTTACTTTTATTGCAAGCTGCAGTGGCGCAGGAAGGATGCGTCCAGGTCTATGTCCAGGTCCAGGTTCAGGTCCTTGCACACACACACACCCAGACGCACATGCATTTGGCAGCTGGCAACTGAGCTGATGTAGACATTCAAATGAATGAGTGCTGGGACAGCTGGCAGCGGTCCAAGCGCAGCAGCAGGAGAAGTATATACATATATGGAGAGAGAGATAGAGCGAGAGAGAGCGAGCATGAGTAGAAGCAGTTCAAGTCGTTGCCTTTAATTAGTAAAACAATTTATACGAAGCCGTTCGGCAAATGGTGGGCAGCTGAGCCGAAACCTTGGAGCTCTGCTGCCTGCAATTTTGTATCTGTGGCGTCGTCGTCGTCGTCTGAAACTTGTGGATGCTGGTGGTGCTGGTGGCGCACGAGGCCTTAGCGCAGCCAGGACCATGGCTTGTACCAGTGGCGTCGGCGTGGCTCCTTGCTGCCAGTTTGGAGCGCTTCCACGCCCACAATTTGGGGCGGCACCACTGGCAACGCATGCAGCGGTGGCTGCTCCTGCTGGTGCTCCTGCGGCCGGTGCTTGCGGCGTGCGGCATCCTGCTCCTGCTTCTGCTGGGCCAACTGATCGATGTGCTCCTGGGTGGCCGCACTCACGCACAGCCTGTAGTCCTCCATGGCGACGAAGCACTTGAACGACTCACGTCGATGCTGCTCCAGGCAGCGCTGCAACTGCGATGCGAACGCCGTGCAGGGCATGTGGGCCTCGCGATCGAAGTGCCGCTGTGTGTGGTCCACCAGGCGATCGAACTCCTGGCAAATGGCCTCCGGCGACCTGGCTTACGTAAATGGAAGTTAATATAGCTCTACCCATCTCTCCCTCTCTCGCTCTCTTCCTCTTTATACTCACATGCGCTGTATGTCCTCAATGGCGCTGAGCACGCTGCCCTTCCTCGGCTTGGACGACATCAGCTTGCCCTTGGGCTTCGCCTTGGGCTTGTTGGCGCTCGGCTCTGCGCTGGCCTTGTTTGCATCTCCCATTGATGCGATTTTCCGTACTGTTCTGCAGCTCCCGCTATGGCCAAAAATCTGTTCCAAAAAAAAAGATCTGTGTGATTTTGTTTTGAGATTCAGTTCATGTATGTGTTTGCCTACAAAAACCTATACAAAGTGACTTCTCTCTCTCTCCTCTCTCTCCCTCCCAGCTCGACGTATAACTCCACACACCCACGGCGAGCTAGATCTGCCCATTGAGATGGGGGACTATGAAGTTTCTAGTGCGAAAAGTTGCTCGAGTCGGCTGGACAGCGTGGAGAACTATACTTGAGACATTCGAATAAATTGCCAGCGGCAAAAGCAGCCAAAACTTTGTGCATCTCATCAAAGTACGTTAATAAGCTTAAAATAAAAAGCATTTCATCATAATTGGAGTCAAATTTCTCAGGTAACAGCCTCTGGGCACGCCACGGTCACGGCCTCGTCCACTCCCTCCTCTCATGTGTCTCGGTCAAATTATGCGATTTGCGCAGACTTTTAAGTTTTCATTTTATTATCAAATTTGGAATTCGGAATTTGTTTTAATTGCGCGTTTAGGCGCAAAGTTTCGCCAACATCTTTGGCTTTGTGTTCGCCGTGTCAATTGCAGGCTGCACTTCATCATATGCCAGGAGGAGGAGCAGGAGCACTACCTGAGACACAGGCAGAGAGAGAGAGAGAGAGAGAGCGGGAGAGAGCTGTGGCGTCTGGATACAAACTTCGAACATAAAAGAAACTCAAGAAGTTGTTTTGCGGTTTGTTCGACAGCCGGGAATTTCGTTATTGGAATTTTCATTGGCCACAAAAATACTTTTTCGATTAAACTTTAACGGCGCGTGAAATGCCCGGAAAATGTGTAGCTAAAGATGCCCGCCTCAGCCCATCCGCCCCTCACACACCCATACCTACGTCTCCTACACAGCCTTATCCGAAATCGAAAAACAGAGACCGCATACCGCAAATCAGAAATTGATTAATTACAAAAACTAAAAGGAAGCAACTGAAGATTGCCCTTGACCGCCGGACAAATGCCAATTAGTGCAAAATATTTCAGGTCGCCGCTAATGGATATCAATTCGTAACGCCCTCGGGCCTACGCCCGACGAACAACAACAACAAAGGCAAAAATATATAAGTCAAAGGGCGCACTCAGCTGTCCTCGCATGCCAATTCCGAATGCGATAGCAAACGGCGAAAATATCGGCAAGAGAAACTCGTTAACAGCCAGCGACAGCGGCCCGAATTTCCGAGTTCTCAGCACCCAGGGGTGCTGCCCTCTCCTCTTCGCCCCCCTTTGGTCAAGCCCATGCTTGTTTCAGATCCTGCAATTGGCAGCCGAGGCCCCGAAGCATTCGATATTAAGCCTGAAAATTGGAATGAAACTGAAACTCGGCACAGTTTCCGCTCTATGCCATATCCAGCGTTCCCTATTTGGGAACCCTCAAACTGAGCTGTAATTGCAATGGCTACGTACGAAGTCAACATCCACTATGGATGCGAGTTAGCGCTTCAGGCTTTGAGGTTTTCAGATTGAACGTAGTTTTGGTTGGAGCTTAGCTGGGATACAGCAATACGAAATGGGACGATGTAGCTGACGATGGACGGAAGTAACTGTTTTACTAAATGGGATGATTGTATCCTATCCTTAAAGCGATGTTTATAACTGTTTATTTACATGGTATAAACAAGTGTGCTCCGAGATCTTCCCAATTGAATAACTTTTCATCTAGATGATACTATGATATGGTATATATAATAATAAAAAATCAGTTTGAAATATTTCGGAAACCCCAGTTTCTACGGCTTATCACATTACTGTATTCATATATAGGGATAGATGGACAGATGAAAATATCTCTAGCAACTCATCTCATCGTACTGCCCAATATACCCATTACTGTAAAGCTACATATATATGTGATGATATAACTATAACTGTATAACTGTATATATCGCCTATTATATACATTTTCCCATTTTAAATGGGCTCAATGGAGCCACAACCGAGTCGCAGTCATGCCCCAAAGCAAATCAACAAAAGAAATACATATAGATAGTCTACTAAACGAGAACATCAAGCATGTTAGAATTACAAAAGAACTCCAGTATATTAGTATTTTTAGTATTTTTAATTTTTCAATTAAAAGTCGGTTCAAAGTTATGTGTATATAGAATTCAAGTGATACAATTTAGTAGAGTTAGGCCAAAATAGAGTTAAGTAGTTAAGAGTTGGTTAGCCCGCAATTCAGGTGGATGGTGTATATGGTGTTACGACAGATAAAAGTTGTGCGGATTCATGCTAAATGTGATTGAAAGAGCTGTACTGAATGAATATGCAGGTGAGTGTTGTGAAGGGTGACGAATTCAGGTCATGCGCAGATAGGAGTCATGCAAAGTGCGAAATCCGAGTTGGATCAGTGTTTACCTATAGATGGGTGAGCTCAGTGTCTAATGACGTCTTTGCGGAAGGGAGACGGCGGCACTTCTCGTGGCGACAGTTGTGCACATAGGGATTGAGCTGATGACGGTGCCACCAGTGTAGCTCGGGCGCCTTGCGCAGCTTCTGCTGGTAGCGATCGAACTGATCGAACGTGATGTAGTTGCGCATCGGGCAGTGGGCGTCGTGATGGTAGTCGCACAGCTCATCGTAGACCCAGATGCGGCGATTGCAGTAGCGCACGTTGTTGTTGTGCGAGGGAGCGAACTTCAGGTACTTCTCGAACTCCGGGAAGAACAGCAACCGGCCCATGCCACTGATGCAGCACTTCTGGCGCAGCTGGAGCAACGCCTCCAGCGGAATGCTGTCGAAGCGCACACAGTTCATCAGCTGGTCGGTGTAGGAGCTGCGCGACTTGTAGTCATGGGACAGCCAGATAATGATCGCGATGAGCACCTCCACCTCGGAGTTGACGCAAATGTACGGCGAGTCGAGCAGCGAGACGAGCGCATTCGGCCAGAGATCGATGTAGTCATCGGTGCCAATCAGGGTCAAGAAGTACTTGTGCACAGGCATGGTCTTTGGCAAGGGCATATAGAAGAGGTTCATCTTGTGCAGCCCGAAGTACATGTGGAAGCCGATCTCCTCGCGTGCCGTGTTCGGATCGCTAAACTCTTCCATGAACTGATCGATCAGCACCTGAATCCTCAGGTACATGGCCGCCTTGAACACGCTCATCAGCTTCGGCGGCAAGATGATCTGGTTCGGCTTGGCCATCCACTTGTAAATGGATATGAAGGCCTCCACGCTGACATCGCTGATCGGCAGCCCGTAGGCCATGCCGTGCTTGCCACGGCAGAAGAAGTCACTGTTGCTCTGCAGCAGATCCAGGTCGCAGACCACCTCGGTGGTGCCGATTATTATGGTGACCGTGTTTTTCGGATTCGGATTCAAGCGGTACACAATTGCCGCTGCCTTCTGCGCCTCGATGGCCCGGGCCCTGCGCTCGGCCGGAGTGGTCCGCTGGTTGTCCAAGTAGAGAAGACGACGCTGCTTGCCCATCTTCACGACAATAGTTTTCGATTCCGGATAATGAATGTAGACCGACTGCTCGCTGGCATCTGACTCCTCGGAAGCATCCTCAAAGTTGGCAAAATCATCGAAAATCATGATGCTAGAGCTTGCGATATTCTGTCCAATAGCGAAATATTTGCAATGAAATTGGCCCATCACATGGTCCACAATACTCACGTTTCGAAACGAAAATTATAGGAATTTGAAACTCCTCGGAGAAAAGATGAGACTCGCACAGTGACAGCTTGAAAGACTCTTGCCGACTGACTTTAGGGCGGAAGTTAACTTGGCTCTTAGTGCTGAGCTCGATGAATGACAAACAACACGGATCCGATAATATCCAGTGATGTAACTATTCCAGAGTATTGTCATTTGCTTGACTGATTTATGCCCGTGAGAAATCGGCACAACAATGCAATGGCATGGCCCAGTCTTTGATCCGATAGGCTACGCTCTTTTGCTATTGCCCTTGAATGGTCACCTATAAAATACCGCAACTGCCATACCTAAGCTTTGGCAGCCATATATCGATACTCTACCGGAGCTACAGCAGCTATCGATAGTTGCTTATTGAAAATGAATAGGCACTCACACATAACTATTTGGATACTAGAAACTTTAACTAAAAAACTCTAGAGGAACCCTAAGTAAAATTTAATAAGTGAACTCAAATCCAGCTCGGTTCGATTAGAGGCAGTTCAGATCCCTTTTTACAAACTTGTTCGTGTTAATTTCTAATTGAATTCAAGTAAACCTAGTAAATGGGTTATTGCCATTCGAAAGTACTTCAACTTGAAGGCGCACAGTCAATTGCTTTCTCCGCGCAGTTCCACGTCTGGCCTCAGCCTTGATGTCAGGATCATGTTGGAAAATAAAGATTATAATCAACATGAAAATCAAGCGGCAAAACTTTGTGCAATCTTCCCAGTAAACCCATGGCACCGTCCTCCCTGTCCCTCCGGTTGCCTATGCCTTCCATGTCACAGACACACACACACACACACACACAGACACACTCACACCCATATACATTTGCGCGTAATCCGTGGCTGTTTCTCATCTGCAGGCATGGCGGGAGCATACTTACTGCTGCCACGCCCACGCAGCCACAGTTGCCAGCTGCAGCTGTGCCTGTGCCTGGGCTTGGGCTGGGTCTTGGTCTTCTGTGTGTCGCTGTGCAGCTGGCGAAAGTCACAGCAGGCGCCAGACACGTTCCAGCAGCCAGCGCGTCGCACGCGAAACCGCAGCAGAATGTCGTGCGACTCCGACTCCTGCTGCTGCTGCTGCTCCTACTCCGGCTGCTGTTGCCCAAGCTCAACCCAATCCAAGTGCCATTTTCCATGCGAATTTTTCACACATTCTACACGCACACACACACATACATACATCTCTCTTATTTTTTTTCTTCTTCTATATATATTTTTCAACATATAAATTTTCGTTCAAGTTGAAAAGTTTCACATACTCCTGTCACGTAATGCACGCTGCTTGCAGAGCGTGGGCGTCGTGGTCGTCGGCGGCGGCGGCGGCGGGCGTGGCATTTGTACTCTCTGGCGTGCGAGTCGCTAATTTATGTCTGACATTAGAATGCAATCATATTCACTTAAAAAATATATCGCAATAAAAGCAGCTCTCTTTATTTCCCTTTCAATTGCCATTCCCCAAGCTGGCGTTGCCAGATCGTGTGCAGCTCGAACGGCTGTTGCGCGCGTGCGCAATCGACTTGCTGTGCCTCGTTTAAATTCGTTTTTAAAAGGGGAAATTTAAAAAGAAATTTCCATCTAGCGATATATCGTATATCGTATGCAGGTCTTGGCTAGTTTAGCTCTTAAAGTTTCTGCTTTGGTGAGATTGTCGTGATATATGTATGTACATATATGTATGTGAATGAATGTAAATACTGTTGATATACAACGTACGCATATATGTATTTATGTATTTGTATAAACGAATGTAGATACATACACATATACATACATATGTACATATGCCTAGATGTACATTATGCCCATTTACCGCACATATGTAGAGGTAACATCATGCTATCCCTCCTGTCTATAGCCAAAGCTCTATGCATTAATTATTCAATAGACTTTACTTAAATTTTTTCCCGCTTTCTGTCCATAAAGACAAAACTGATTCAATGTATGTATGTATGTCCTAGGTCTACACTAGATCTACACTTCGCTCCACTAAATAAACCAAGCTCTACAAATACCGGGCGTATTACGTAATCCGTCCGCCTTTGTATTGCGCGCAAACAACGTCTCAACAAATCAGAATACACGATTCGACAGCGCATTAAGCACAAGTCTGTTGATAACGTGGCTCCGTCTCTCTATGTGCACACGCACACACACACGCACACACTGGCCGCCCATCTATGTATGTATGTAAATGGGCGTGTCGCATTGTAAGCCCGACCGGGCAACTGACCCGTGACATGTGTCGAGGGGGGGGCGCCCGCCCCTGTCTCTGCCACATCATTGGGAGCATAAGCCGCAAAAAGGATTTTCGACAGCGGCTGCAAAATGTGAAAACCAAAGAATTATTGCCACTGCGTCCCTGACCCGCATGGCCAACAGACTGTGCGCCACTCTGCTCCCCCCTTGCTCTCTCGCTCGCTCACAGTCGCACTCTCTCGCTCGCTCACCCGCTCACTCACTCATTGTCGCATAATCCCAGGCAACGTGACCCAGCTGACAGTTTACAATTTTGCAGCAAAGGCTGCCCCCATCGCCTCCGCCCCCGCCCACCCCCTCCCACCATTTTTTCGTGAGCTCCTCTAGCGCACCCCCTCCGGCGCACCGCCCCCGCACATACCACTGGAGGACGCCCCAGCGCTGGGAGGTGTTTGGTTAAGCACATAATTAATACGAAATTTGATTGCCTTTGCCGCGATGGGACAACACGGGCCTGGCCCAGGATGTAACCTATAAAAGAGATTGCCATTCGAGCGAGCATGTGTGTGTGTGTGCGTGTGCGCGTGTGTGTGTACGTGTGTGCGTGTGTGTTGGGAAAAGTGAAAGTCAAATTAAAGCAAACTCTGCTGTTGCTGTTGGCATTACCGCTGCTGTGGTTTGCCGCTTAAACGCTTGCGGTTTAATTAATCGACTCATAGTTGATGCCGAGACGGTTGCACTGAGCGCCGCTACTATCTCAGGCACTTGTGCACACTGCTCTCAAGGCTAAAGGCAGTTGATTGATCGTTGGATTGATGATGCATAAACTGATTGTCGAATGCGAGCAATGGACATATCTGACGGTTCTAGTCGGAACTAAGTGAGAAATACTTCAGTAAAGGCATGAAAGGTTATGCTTAGTAGTTGACTAGGTACTATTCGAGCTGGACTGGATTGACTTCAATGTTCTCTAACTCTCCAGCCAAACCCAAAAGGCAGCATATCAATTTCCTAGTTCTTCTAGGAAATCCATCAGTGAGTCAATCAAGGAATCAGTTGATCAATCAGCAAACGAGCAAGTCATTTAATCAGTCTGTTTGCTGGTCAGTCAGAAAATGAAAATACGTCAACAGGTCAGTTATGTTGACCAGCTGGGTGCATTGACTGACGTACTTTACCCATCTGATTGATGAGCTGAGGAACTACCATCGATCAGTCAAGTAACGTACGTCAATCAATGTATCTAGCAGTCAGTTGTGCTGCAAGTCAATCAATCAATTTGCTAAGTGGCAATCTATATGCATATATATTGCCAATCAGTCATCGAGTCAGCCAGTCCTTCAATCAAAAAGTTCAAATACATCACGACAATGGAAATACCAATTAATGATGAATTAAAAATGATTGTAAATTAGTTAATTAGGCAGACTTTCAGTCAGTCAATCCGCTATTGATTAATGTAATTAGATTAAAAGTTCTTTCAGTCAATCAATCAACTGTTACAAGCTACTATGATGATATGTATACATATGTACATATATATAAGAGCTATGTCAGTCAATCAGTGCTACAATCAGGTCAACAACTACATGAATACATCAGTCCAGCAGATAATACTTGAATACACACAGATAACAGGAACAATGTCAATCGCTGGATTGGTCAGTCCATCAATCTAGCAGTAGCTCCAATGGCTGCACATGTTATAAAGACTTCCCGTACAGGCTTCTCTTCCCATTAAGCAAACATTCAACTGTTTGTTTATGCAGCGCATCTCGCAGTCGATTATAGCCCACGCTCGGCCGTCCGCTCACTCATTTCGCCTGACTTCCTGTCGCTGGGGTTAATTTTTTCCGTTCGTTTGGGGCTTTTCGGGCTGATGGCTGCCTTCAAATGGTTTCGCTGTCGGCTTTTTAATGTATGTATATCCATGGCCAGGAGGAGTTCCGCTGTGGCGCCAGCGGCTGTCTCCAGCTCTGCCTGTCAGCAAACAAACGAAAATGAAATGAAATGAAATGAAAAAAAAAAAAAAAATAGAATAGAGTTTGAGAGGAAACTTTAACTTTTGTTGTGGTTGGCAGCCAGTTCTTATGGCCGAAAATAAATCAAGCGCCAAACTACTTTTGGCTCAAATGATTAATTAACTGCATTTTGTGCTCGACCACGTCCTGGACAATGCCGGCGATCGCACGGAGTGCGGCCGACTCCTTCCGTGGCCGAATGGACGAATGGCTGGCACTTTGCCGTCTCCCGGTTAAGATATTATTAATGTGCTTGTTAGCTGCTCGCCCCGCCCTGTCAGTAAAGTCTCCTCTTTCCCTCGCTCTCTCTCTCTCACTCACTCTCTCTCACTCACTCTTTCTCTGGCAGAACGAATGAATTATGAGCGCGTTTTCTCGAACTTTTTGTCAGCCAGCTGTTCCATCTCGTCCGCAGCTCAATTAGATGTAAGCGCATAGGCGTCGCTGCCACGCCCACCACACGGCAATTGGGATGTGCTCATATAGTGGATATGCTCTTGACTAAACATTTGTAGACATAATGCTGCCACACTATTTCTTCTTCTGAGATTCTTCTGAGATTCGCACAATATGGAAAATAAATTATATTATTTATAAATACATATATACATACATTATATTATTACAATTTCTATTTTATCATACATACATACATACATACATACATATATAC